AGTAAGCTTTCTCAGAAGTTTTGCATTTCTAAGTTTAATTCTGGGCTCTCTGGATCAAAGCACTAGTGTCTCTCCCAAGCAATCCTATTTTGAGGTCTATCTTTATGTCTAGGATCCTAGCCTATGATTTAAAAACAACCACCAACCAAAAAAAATCTTTTCAAGGCACCATTATTATAGCTAATCACTAATTATGTATTTTTTCCCATTTATCCAGCAGCTTCTTTTTTATGTCAGAATCCAAAAGCTAAATCTGTCCTCTGGCAGTATAACTGTTATCCTGCTTATTGACTCTTATTCCTTGCATTATTCTGTCCCCAATTATGCTGTCCATAAAGGATTCTGTCACATGAGGCTCTGTTACCAAGAGCTCAAATACATGTAGCAGCTGTTTATTTGCAAATACAGCATGTGATGAACACATGGTACAGAAAGACAGTTATATTTAAGTTAGTACCTTCTCATTTACATTAGATGGTCTGCTATCCTTTTCCCTTTTCAATGCTGCATGTATGGTAAATAGCCTTGTTTTTCTGTTCTAACAAACTCCACTGCAATACAAATAACTGAAATATCACCAAGAGTCTCAGTTAGCCAAGGCATCACAGCACAAAAACAGCTCAAGCTTTCAATAGCAAAAGTGACATTAATCATAATAATAGCAGCAAAGTGAACAAGCATTAAGATCTTACTACATGCCAGGCACTGCCCTGGAGACTTTACATATAGCATCTCACTTATTGTTTATCATGATGTACATACATGTCGTTATCTGTGCTCATTATAAGGTTACTCATGGCATACCTGTGATTTAAACCCAAACCTGCCTGACTCTGCCTCCCACAATGTGGCACTGAGAATCGGGGAGAAGAGTAAGGTGGTAAGAAAGGAGGGGGAAAGAGTTGACAGGGAGAAGGGATAATGGAGTGGAACATCCTCAATTTTTTTTTTAATTTTCATTATATGTTGACAAGTTATAGTTGTATGTATTTGTGGGGTGCAAAGTGATGTTATGATTTTTAATACAATGTGGAAAAGATTAAATTAAGCTAATCAGCATATCTATCACTTCAAATATTTAAGATTTCTTCATGATAAGCACATTAGAAATTTACTGTTTTAGTGATATTGACATGTACAGAACTCAATTATTAGCTATAGTCACCATGCTGTGCAATTGATCTAAAAAAAAATCAGACACTCCTCCTGAGGCTTTGTACCCTTTAACTATCATCTCCCTATTCCCCTCGCCCACTGCCTCTGTAACTACCATTGTACTCTCTGCTTCTATGAGTTCAATTGTTTCAGATTCCACATATAAGTGAGAACATGTGTTATTTGTCTTTCTGTGTTTGGCTTATTTTCACTTAGCATAATATTCTCCAATTCCATCCATGTTGCCACAAATGACAGAATTTCTTCCTTTTCTGAGGCTGAATAGTATTCCATAGCGTATTCCATGGTGCCCAACCCCCAGGCTGCGGACCAGTACCAGCCTGTTATGGACCAGGCAGCAGAGCCCCACGCCCCCATCCATGAAAAATTGTCTTCCATAAAACTTAAGAAGTGGAGGGGGGCACAGCAGGAGGTGAGCAGCAGATAAGCAAGCAAAGCTTCATCTGTACTTACAGCCTTTCCCCTCCCCATCACCTGCATCACCGCCCAAGCATCACCTTCCGCCACCCCACGAGTGCCCCTAACCCCTGTCCATGGAAAAATTGTCTTCCATAAAACCAGTCCCTGGTGCCAAAAGGTTGAGGACCACTGGTGTATATATTACCACATTTTCTTCTTAATTCATTCAACAAACATCTATTGGCCACCTATTACTGCCTGGGCATAGTGTCTACTCATAATACAAGTTCCTTGTCCTAGAAAGGCATGCTTTGCTTAGAGAAATACAACCTCCAGCAAACAACTGCAGTCTCCACCTTAAGGGCAATGATCAACATGTGCCAAATTGTCAACAGCACCGAGAGTGAGGGTGGGGCCCTGCCAAGGGAACCGAGGAAGGCCTCCCAGATAAGGAGGCTTTTGAGCAGGAATGTAAGCAAAGGGTGAGTGTTCTCAAGCTAAGAGTGGAAAAGTTATAGCAGGCAGAAGTCAAAGCAGGGCAACATCGCAGGGGTGTGGCAGACGGAGGGATGCTCGGGGAATTGAGTACTTCAGTGGCTGCAGAGGAGGATGCATGGGGAAGATTGGGAGAGATAGGAACAGAAGGGCAGGTGCTTTGACAGCATGTTAGGATCAGGCATTAGGAAAGGGAGGAAGGAGGGAAGAGGTGTTGCATGGGGGAGGGGAGAAGAGGGGGAGGAGATATGGGACATGGGGCTGCCAGCACAAGAGGCCACTCTGTGTAGCACGACATATGAGGTTATCACAAGCCATCAAGTCACGTGAATTGGTTTGTCTGGTGCTTTTCATTATGACTGTGGATTGGGGTAATCTTGACGAAAAGAAGAGTGACAGATACAAGGTGAGGGTGGCCCTTAATCAGAGCCTTGGGCAGGGCAGCCTGAGAGAACCAGAAACGTGGGAGGAGAGGGAGCAAAGGCTTTTCTGAGCTGGGAACAGCTGCTGAAATACAAGGCAGGTGGCACAGAGACAGACGGGCCATTCAGCTGTACTCTAGCCATTGCTGGGGCTGGATATTTGACAAAAGGTCAAAGGACAGCATGAGAAGACAAGATGACGGCATTATTATTCTTAAAAAGTAATCAAATGCTTCAAGTGGGGGGAAAAAGCACCTTTGAATTGATAATATATCAATAACAAAGATATAATTTGAGAAAATATTTTTATGGGAGACACAATCAAATATTACTGGGACTTGGGACACTGTTTCCTTGCTCCATGGATTAATATCCTTTCTGCTGTGTGGCAAGGTGTTCAGTGTCAGTCAAGCTTTTCTTAATCTGGCTGCTTAAGGGCAAACTAGACTACAACATACGTCTTTACACTGTCAGATCTGGACTCTGACTGTAATCTCTCCCCACAGATAAGAAATGGGATTTCAAGAAAGGGAAAGGACCCTTTGTATACTGCATTTGTCAAAAAATTCTTGTCAAGGATATATCTCTGCCATAGTACTTATAGTATCGCTGGAGAATAAACTTAATAAGGTCTGGTTTGGTATTCTGTGGAACAAAATTCCTAGTGAAATAAAGAAATCAAAAAATACTGCTTATGACATTTTATAAGTGGACTTCGTGCAGGTATTGTTAAATTGAAAGAGCAATTTTTTACTTCTGATTTGCCATCTCCTACTTCTCTGTCTCTACAGGTTATCATTCCCAGTGAACACACTTCAGATGGCAGAGTAATGGCCAGGAACGACGTGGTAGAGATGAGGCTGCCAATGCAGATTTCCGGGCAACCATCCTAGAGTGCAGTAGCATCTCCGAGGCTGTGATAAAGTTCAGCGTGGACAGCCTAGACTTTGGTGGCAAACAGCCCTGGGATCAAGCCCCAGCTTTGTAGCTTAATGATTCTAAGACATAATGTACTCAAAGCGAACGCCTAGCAAACAGTAGACACTCATTGAATAGAAGGTGCTATTGCTGTAAAATTATTTTTTTAAAGCATAAAAGGGAAAAGCCAGAGCCACAGTACAACAGAGCTCCCCACTTTAAAGGCATAAATTTCATCTTCCTGTCAAATGCAAATCCCTCTGCCAACTTCTCATGACTATCTGGAGCCTAAAATTAGCCAGCCTAAAACTACTACTAAGACAAGAAACTGGCATTTTATATGTTAATTTTTTAGGGGTCTCCCTTCCCTTTCTCCTTTATTTTTCTTTATAAGGTGATCTAAAATGTAAGAGATTAATAAATAGAAACTGTAGATTTTTCATCTTACCATTTTTGTCTGCTCTCCTCAGTATCTG